CCCCCCCCCCCCCCCCCCCCCCAAAAAGGGTGAAAATCCACAAAGTAGTGACGTTATTTATTTTAGTATTTATATATATATTAAGGCTTTAGAAACCCAACATTCTAAATGTTCTAAATTCTTAAACCTACATCATTTTAACAACATACGTATCTAGCTACTAAATTTTACTCACCAGCTCTGCAGAACAGCAACGGCTCTTGGTTCTGCTCGGATCCGGTTTGACTCGGTTCACTTTCTGCAGACCTACCCTGCAGCGATGAAGCCCACAATGTTCTAAACTCTTAAACCTACTAAATTTAACAACATAATTATATGTAGCTACTAAATTTACTCACCAGCTGGCAGAACAGCAGCAGTTCGGTTCCGCTCTGACTTGGTTCCGTTTCGGCGGACCTACCCTGCTGGTTCTGGTCAGCTCTGTGGCTCAGAGTAGCAGCAGTGGGCTCCAGAGGGAACACTGGACCTATGGCTGTGCGTCCCTGCTCGGAAGTCCTGGTGGGCCGGCTACCTGCTCTTGGGTTCGCTGATGGGTCTGGAGTTCTCCAGTTCTGGTCCGGTTCCATGCAGCTCTCTGAATCCCCCTGGGCACCAAAGTCACTGTAAAGGACCTAACTTTTTCCTATCTGATCAAAACTTCCCCTCTACGTATTTCAGCAGAAGGCAACAAGACTTATGGGTGGGGCACTGTTGACTTCTGGGAAATGTAGTCCGTATAAGTGTTGATACAGTGTAGTCTTAGTGAGAGAAAACTACAAAATGGCGACGCCTGTCCAAAGTATTTTATTTTTTTCGTTAACTTTTTACTGTACAGTATCCCGTACTGTCCCAATCACGTGAGTAATATTAGAGTTGACAATCATCAAGTAGCAGGACTACTACAGGCTAAGCTCCACAAAAGTCAACAGATCAATTTCCGAAATCAGGTTCCTGACAGTAATTAGAAGAAGTCAACAAAGATGCTGAAATAAAATCTGAGGTGAGATAAAATCTCAGAGGCTGGTTTATGTGAGGATTCCAGTCTTATGCATGGCTCCTATTCTAAGTTCAAATTTGACATCATTGTTTTGGCCTCTCAGAGCTACCACGTGATCAGAGTAGGACTCATTGGTAGGTCTGTGTTTCATCACAGTGCAAAGGTTCATTTATATGTTCATATACAAAAAAAAACTTTGTGTGGTATTTTTCTTAAACCATAAGACGTTGGTCTTTGGCATGTCATTCTTTCTAGATCACGTTTAATTAACGTGTTTATATATATGTCATGATTCAATGATTTTTCTTTTAGTGTTTGACCATCTGGACCAGAGGTTTAGGAATTTTTCGGATGGGGACCTGATGAAGGTGGTCAGCTGCATGGAGCATGCCGTCTCTGCCGTTTACCCTCGCTGCCGCTACTCCCCCGGCTGGGACGCCAAGTTCTTCTGGTTGCCCATGTCCTACATGCCAACCTCTGTTTCAGACAAATTTTTCCTTAAATATTACCCCACACCCAGAATCTCCAAGCTGTAGTTTATACAGCGTCAAGAACTGGATGTTTAGATTTTTGAAGATCACTTTTGAGTGTTTCAGTTGAACAGAATAAACGTGACTCATGTCAGCTTTGCACATCAACAGGTGCATCTCAAATGATTAGAATATCGTGAAAAAGTTACTTTTTTTTGTCAATTATTTCAGAAAGTGAAACTCATATATTACATAGATTCATTACACATTTCAGGCCTTTATTTCTTATAATTTTGATGATTATAACTTACAAATAATGAAAAACCAAAACTCAGTGTTTCATAAAATGAGAATATTTTGAAGAGGTTCAATATTTTTAACTCCTGGTGTCACACCCTAATCAGCGGATTAACTCCTCGACATGAGCTACAAATGTCACATTCCTCAAGTTGAGCCACTCCTGAAGCAGAGATGTCAGAAACATCTTACCTGCTGAGGAGAAAAAGAACTAGTCCAACGTCCTCTTTTCAGTTTAAAGTAAAATTTGCATTTAATTTGGAAATCAAGGTCTCAGAGTCTGCAGGAAGAGTGGAGAGGCCCAAAATCCACGTTGCTTGAAGTCCAGTGTGAAGTTTCAACAGTCAGTGATGGTTTGGGGTCATATCCTCTGCTGGTGTTGGTTCACTGTGTTTTCTAAAGTCCACAGTCAACGCAGCATCTTTCAGGACATTTTAGAGACTTCATGAAAGCTTTATGGAGATGCTGGTTTCATTTTCCAGCAGAACTTGACACCTGCCCACACTGACAAATGTACCAAAAGCTGGCTGTGGAATATTCTCATTTTATGTGACACTGAAATTTCATTTTTTTTCATTTGTAAATCATAATCATCAAAATTACAAAAAAATAAAGACTTGAAATATGTCACTCTATGCATAATGAATCTATGTAATATAAGAGTTTCCCTTTATGAAATGACTGACAATAAAAACCATAATATTCTAATTTTAGATGCACCTGCACTGAGTTCATGTCAGATGATGAATGAATAAATTCACTAGTCTTTGCATTTTAAAACAATATACTATTTGAAACAGTGTCATTGTCACCTCTGTTAACTTGAAAATCAAGTTTTGTGACAACTTTTAAAAGAATCTGTTTAGATTCACAATTTCTGCATTTGTCAGTAATATTGAACAAAGTCTGCTGTGTAACGTTTGCTTAAAAATGTTGATTTGAGGGTAAAGGGAATACAGTCATGAACCCAGGACTTGTACACTTGTCTGGCGTATTGCACAAGCCCATACTGGTGAACATTCACCTCCTGCTCCTATATCTTTTATGGACTTTGACTCCACGGACACGCTGCATGGCTTCACCTGCAGCCAGTCAATTTGTTAGGATTGAAGGTGAGGAAGCAGCAACATCTAAGGAGCTATAACCATGGTATGTTTACGTTATTGTTAATAATTTGCATGTTCTGCTACTTGCGTTAGAGTTGATCGACACATCAAAAATACTTGTTAATTAGTGGACAGATTTATATTTGGGGTATATAATGCCATCTGCTGGTTGAGAGACAAATTTGCATGAAGGAGTTACTAAGTGGAGACTCTGGAACTTAAACTGCTTTACAGATCATCAAAACCCATATTTCACCATCAAGAATGGAGTTAAGTTGTAAAATGTCTGTTGAGGCAGCTTGTTCTCTCATGTCCTATTAGAGATGTTTGTTTTCCTCAACGTAATAGTTGCAAGTCATGAGCCGCTGCTATTTTTTGTGGGTTGTAAGCAAAAATGTTTGGGAACTACAGGTTTAAGACAACATATATTAGTTTTGTTCTGTGTGCTGGGGTTAAATATATAATGAACAAAAATATAAACACTGCAGACCATGTGTAACCACACCAGCCAAGGACCACCACATCCAGTATCTTGACCTCTGAGATCACCTGAGACCAGCCACCGGAGCAACTGCTGCAACAATCAGTTTGCATAACCAAATAATTTATGTACAAACTATCAGAAACTGTCTCAGGGAAGCTCATATGCATGCTTGTTGTCCACAGTTGGGTCTCCACCTGGCTGCAGTTTATCATTGTAATCAACTTGAATGGGCAAATGCTCATATTCAATGACATATGGCACGTTGGAGAAGTGTTCTCTTCACAGATAAATCCCGATTTTCACTGTGTAGGGCAGGTGGCAGACTGGTGCATATGGCGTGCAAGTGAGATTTGCTGATTTCAACGTTGTGAATCGAATGGCCCATGGTGGTGGTGGGGTTATGGTATGGGCAGGCGTGTGATATTGGCAATGAACAACTGGAGCTGGTGTTACAGGTGGTCTGCGGTTGTGAGGCGGGTTGGATGCCAACTGCACCCTCCTTCAAATTGCAACATCTGTGGCATTGTGCTGTGTGATCAAACTGCACATTTTAGAGTGGCCTTTTATTGTGGTCAGCCTAAAGCACACCTGTGTAATAATCATGATATTTGTGAACAATATTTGAGAGAAAATGGCCTTTTGTGTGTACATAGAAGAAGTCTTAGTTTGAGATCAGATTGTGAAAAATGGGAGCAAAAACAAAAGTGCTGTACATATTTATATTTTTGTTCAGTGTATTAAGTTTTGCACAAATGATAAGAGGTTTTTCTGAAGCCATTTAATAAATAAATTAAGTATTTTATTACTTGGAGCAATATTCACTTTATTTTCTACATGTTATTAAACAATGCGAGTGTTAAGACAAGAAACAAAACTGACACCTCGAGACTAATAATTCTGAGTAAAAATGTGTTCACAGTTTACTTTTCAGACATATTAGTCAAAAATTGCAGTGAATCTGTTTTATTCTGCTCACAACGAAAAAGTTTTACCCGTTGTTTTGTTTTGTTTTAAGAAACTAGAGCATTTTCTCAAAAGCTGCCGATGTGTAAAAACTCAATTTAAAGGCTTTTTTTTTTAATGTACAACTTTTTACTGATTCTGCTTGTGATAAATAAATGCAGCTGTAAATAAAATATACCGTTTATTCTTATAAAATTTGATGACGTGGAATAATAAACAACACTGAAGTCCTGAGTCATGCTCAATAATCCAGAATCTAAGGTTGAGTTTTGTTTCACTTGAGTTTATCAGGGTTTTAAACGTCTTCAAATCTATTCAAGTTTCTCCACTCAGGTGTCGACTGTAAGTTATTTTGCACAGATTAGCAGATTTTTCTCTTTTTGTAACCATCGTCTTGATGTTTTTTCCCCTTCAACACTTACATTAATATTTATATTTTATAAATATATTCATTTTAAAATATATATTTGTTATGATCTTCAATTTAAAGCTGCATTTGTTTTATATTTTAGGTCCCGCTATTACACCTAGCCTTTACCTGTGTTTTACTTCTGGCCATCTTTGCTGTTGTTCGCTGGTTCTTCAGAGATTCTCAGAGACTTGATGGATTCAGTCAGAAGCATGTGTTCATCACAGGCTGTGACAGCGGCTTTGGGAACCTTCTGGCCAGACAACTGGACAGAAAGGGCTTTAAGGTCATAGCAGCATGTCTCACGGAGAACGGTGCAGCAGATCTGGCTGCAGCAGCCTCCCCCAGGATGAAGACCCTCCTGCTGAATGTTACAGACAGCGCCAGCATCAGGAGCGCAGTGGAATTTGTGAGGAGGGAGGTCGGGGAGAGAGGTGAGCTGGGCGGGCAGCAGGAGGTGCACACCACTGATAGGGTGCCAGTCAGAGAGAAGCACTGGGGGAGATAAACCTGGAGCATCGTCCTCCTACTTATGTGTTCAGAACGTTTTCTGCTCCTAAAAAGAAAGGTGGAAAAATCTCACAGGTTGCAGTTTAATAACCAGAAACAGTCAAATAAATCCTCGCTGCAGTTAGATTAAAAACACTGGTTCACCTACAATACAAAGAACATACTGTATTAGTGACAGAAAAGTATTTCATTAGTATTTTGATGACTTTTACTCTAATGCATTTATTTTGTACTATCAGCAAAATGTGGTTTACGTCACAAAATGATGCTCAGCGTTACAGTATATAGTACTACAATTTTGTTGCTGGTGTCCACACAGATGTGCAGCTTACATAACATCTGCCCTTCATGCATCCATTTCTAAATCTGAATATATATATATATTTTTATCAGCTCTTCAAACTAGCTATTTCTAGATAAATAACTAGAAACAGCTATTTTTAGTGCTGTAATTGTTTTTTTATTTTTTTTTATTTTTTTATTTACATTTTTATTTTAAAATGCATGTAAATCAAAGCAGGACAACTGTAGTAAATTAGCATAACTCACATATATTCACCATTATTAGGCAATATAAAATAGCTACTGTGAGGTTTAGATGGCCAAAAATATCTAATTTTATTAAGAAACCAACGAAAATGCAGAAAACATTTAAACCAGAAGTTTTTTTTTTTTTTTTTTTTTTCTGTTGAACAACTTTTAAGGGATGCTGTTTGGGAAACATTTATATTCGACAGAGTGGCAACAGACAAATAAAACGAAGATTTTAGTATGTTACACACACGTCTCTACTCTGATAGATCACATTATAGCCAAATCCTTCCACTGTTAGATCATACATGTTGTTATTGTTGTTGCACAGGTCTGTGGGGGCTGGTGAATAACGCTGGCAGGGCAATGCCTATCGGCCCAACAGACTGGATGCAGCTGGAGGATTTCACAAAGGTCTTGGATGTGAATCTGATAGGGCTTATTGATGTGACCCTCCAGTTTCTGCCTCTGCTGAAGAAAGCCCACGGCCGAGTGGTAAACATCGCTAGTGTCCTGGGGAGACTGTCGCTGACCGGTGGAGGTTACTGTCTCTCCAAATATGGAGTGGAAGCGTTTTCTGACAGCATCAGGTAGCAAGACAAAAACAGGGTTAATGCACATGGCTGTGAAACTGATATAGACGTAATGCCACTGTCAAAAACACAAAGATGAAAATTGAACACATGCAAAAACAACAAAATGGAAAAGAGCTGAAAGGCTTACAGTGATGGTCACTGTAAAAAAAATGGTTTAAAATGAAAATAATAAATGGACCTTGTGATGGAAAAGGGGAAACGCGCAGTAAAGTCAAGCTTTTCAGTTATTTCATAAAAACTCACTGCCTCGTTTGTCTTCGCAGGAGGGATATGCACCACTTTGGTATTAAAGTGAGCATCATTGAGCCTGGTTTCTTCAAGACAAATATAACCAGCCCAGATCTAATTAGTGCTGACCTCAAGAGGCTGTGGGCACGCCTTCCTCGGGACATTAAAACCTCATATGGGGCAGCGTACCTTGAAGACTGTGAGTAGATATGCATCTTTAAAATAAAAACACGTTGTGCATTACTCAGTGAATTGTTCTTCTTTGTCAGATGTGAGAATGCAGAACTTCTCTTTGAGGATCTTGCGTAATTCAGACATTGGTAAGGTGACCAGGTGCATGGAGCATGCACTAACTGCTCGCTATCCACGCACACGTTACGGAGCAGGCTGGGACGCTAAGTTCTTCTGGATTCCTCTGTCCTACCTCCCTTCTTTTGTGGCTGATTTTATTGTCAGAGTCCTCCTTCCTTTACCTAAAGGTGGACTAAACTAAATATCAAACATATCGTACTGCATCTGTAAAATCTGTGCAACCACTTAATCACAACAAAGTAAAACGTGACAAGACTGTGTTAAAAAATAGGACATTTATTCATTTATGTCTCAGCAGCAGCAGTTTCATTCATACGGGCTTGTTCTGCACGATCACAGGCGCAGTTTGTTCTCGTGATACAAAATAAATCAGTGTGTGAAGAAGTCATTCAGTTTGTTTAGAAAAATGTCTACATCTGCGTCTTTTGAGTCTTGTGTTGCTTGTCCAAGATCTTTACGTCCAAATGCAGGCAACACATTTAAGTACGGTTTCGTACTATTTTAGTTTTGCCAGCAACAATATCAAAATCAGAATCAATATCAGCTTATGTTCCTCCTTAACGTAGACTAGAAATGACTTAAAATGTCTGTGTTTAAAATCAGATTTATTTTATTGTGCTTTAATTTGTCAGCCCTGAAATGAGGTATATTCAACATGGAGTAAAAATATCTTCAGCTGGTGGCACAAATATCAACATATTTCTCCGGTAACCTCTGATCATATACATTCAATATGCAGGTCACATTTTATACTTGTTATAGTGTGTGTTTATGTTGAAAAATTTAAATCTAGACTATGTTCTGAAAAAAAATCTTACGGCCAAAATTTACAAATATACAACATATTAACATTTCTATCAACAGCTTCAGTGCAAAGATATACATATTGTACATCATAATAAAGAAAAAAAACATTACCACAAAATTGGCATAAGAAATGTCAGAAGGCATTGCGACAGAAGACTTTTTTTCCTCCATTATATTGTTTTTATCTGTCTTTAAACAAATTACGTTTTGTACACAGGCTGCATAAAAAAAATAAATTCTGTGCAAAGTGTGTTTCTTCGATTCCCGTCCGTCAAGAGAGGGGTTATACGTCGGTGTCCTCTTTAACAAGGTTGGCCGTGTCCTTAAAACTGTCCTCGGTTGGTGAGAAGGCGCTGGGACGATCCTTCTTTGGGGGTTTGGTGGCGGGGACGAACGGAGACGGCTCCGGAGCAGAAGCGTCCCCACTGCTTCCAACAGGCTTTTCATCCTTCATCTGTAAAATAATCCAGATTGTAATCTAATTTATGTCTCTGTTTTATATTCTGTATAATAGTGTGAATGTTTATGAAGCATTCACACTATTGTGATCCAGTTTCCTTCCGTTAGTTGTTCAGAGTCTTTCTCATTCCACAATTTTTGTGCTATTTCAGCAAATCATATCAAAACGTTCAGCTCGTTCAGGAGAAGGGTGCTATGACTTTTAGTATTGGTGCAACTTTAGCTTTTTGAAATATTTAGCCTTTTCTGCCACTTTTTTTCTCATGGAAAATGAATTGAGCTAATTTAACATCCTTCAAATGTTTAGATCAGTTTACAACCTTTTACTACTTCTTTCATATTTTGTTCTGATTCAGCTTCTTTCAGCTTCCTTGTGCAAATTTGAACTTTTTTCCAGCTACTTTCAGCTGTTTTTAGCTGTTTTTTTCAGTTGTTTTATGAGCCTTTTAGATTCTTTCTGCTAACTACAACATTTGGTGCTTCTTCTAAATTATTTCTGCTAATTTCAGCTTGTTATGCTCCTTTCATATTATTTCTGCAAGTTTCAGCATTTTCTGCTATTTCAGCTACTATTTGGTTATTTTTATGCTAATTTTAGCTTTTTCAGCTAATTCCACATTTTTTTACTCATTTCAACTTTTTCTGCCTAATTAAGCAAAATTGTGCTGTTGTCATTTCCTTCTTGTAATTTAAGCTTCTTTCTGCCTTTTTAGCTACTTTTCAGCAGTTTTTTTCTTTTGCTCATTTCAGAGTTTTCCAGATAATTTCCACTTTTTTGTGCTTCTTTCAGATTCGTTCTACTAACTATAATATATTTGTGTTCTTCTAACTTCCTTTTGCTAATTTAAGCTTGTTCTACCTTTTCGGCTAACTTTTTTAGCATTTTTACGTAATTTCAGCTGTTTTCAGATAAATTCAACTTTTTGGGGTAATTTCTGCTACTTTGAGCCTAATTAACTTTGTTTAACCAATTTCATCTTGTCATGCTCCTTTCAGCTTATTTCTGATATTTTCAGCTTTTTCTGCTATTTCGGCTACTATTTAGCAGTTTTGTGCTACATTTAACTTTTTCAGCTAATTCCACATTTTTTGTCTATTTCAGCTCCTTCCAGTTCTTTTTGGTAGTTTAAGCTTATTTCTTCCTTTTCAGCTACTTTTTAGCTATTTTTAGCTAATTTCAGCTTTTTAGCTAATTTCTTAATTTTTGAGCTCATTTCTGCTTACTTAAATGTAATTCAGCAAATACGTGTTCTTTGCTGTCTTTTGTTAAGTTAGGTTTATTCTTCCATTTCATCATGTTTTAGCTAATTTCAGCTGTTTTTCAGCAAATTCTTCAGCAAGCATTCACACTGCATTTTTGCAGGAAAAGCAATATCTCTTGTTATTTTTATTTTGTTTTTTTCAAGCTCACCTCTGAGTATGAAGGGTTTTCAAATGTGGTGCTCGGCTTTAATTTTCGCTTGAACAAACTCCACTTTGACTCCTGGAAACAAACGCAGTTAGTTGGCACAGCTGAACTAGTTTGGTTTATTTACAGTAAATGTATCTGGATTCATGTGGATGAGAAGCTTTCACCTGAACAGGGTTGCTGCTAACGGAAGACGTGCTAATGATGTCCACGTTCTGATCTCCATGATATGCTGGGTTCACAAAATTATTCAGCTGATCGCCACTCACGTTAACAGTCACCTGGTCAAAAGCAAGAACAGAAAGGTGTCTGAATATCTAAAGAAAAGGAATTTTGTGCTGAAGCTGTCAGATTTAAAGGGGTGATTAATGTTCAGGTCACTGGCGTCAGAAGCAATTCAATTAAATTCAATTTATTTATATAGCGCCAAGTCACAACAGAAGTCATCTCAAGGCATTTGAAATGTGAGGGGGGAACACTGGTGTGTGTGTGGGAGGGGGTGTCCTCCCCCAGAAAATTTTTAATAAAGTAGATGCCATTTCCTGCATTCTGGTGTATTTTAACGGGCTTTTAAACATCTACGTTTATGTACATAAGTAAACACTTGATTCAATAACTATTTTAGAGAGCATGGCACAAGAAGCAGCCTGAACAACAGCTCTCCTTGTGTGAATAGAGCACACTCTGCCCACCCCCCACCCCACCCCCTGCGTCGAAAACTGCCAGAAGTAACGTAGCGCTAAGCTAGCAGCGTGCAATACAGACGCATTAGCTAAGGTACAACAGACATAGCGCTCTGCTTCGCTCACACATCCTAACCCCTCAACCCGGTTAACAACTGCCAGTACTAACGTGGCACTAAGCTAGCGTGCAAAACAGAGGTGTCTCCCCCTCGTCCCCCGTGAGCGCACTGCCAAGACAGATGACCAGACTAAACACTGCATGCGGTGTGGAGTTGTTGTAGGTAACCAGGAAAACCCGGAGCGGACTTTAAGTGGTTTGAGTATTCTCCTATTAATCAAGTGGAATGGATTTGTTCACGAAGAAATAGAAACAACGTTGTGTGAACTAGTATTTTGTGGTAAATGTGTGTGTGTGTGTGTGGGGGGGGGGGGGGGAATGAATATTTTCTAAATGTGTGTGTGAAGCAGGTGGGAAGTCCTTCAAAATCCTGTGAATATTTTGCAGACACTATTTGGTTAAAGGTTATTAAACACTACGCGGTATATTTTTTCTGTTTTTTTTTATATTTTCATCGTAAATTATTTTTATAGGACCTGGGGTAGCATGTACCAATGCAAGTTCTTTTTCCCTTAGCAGATTAATATATCCCTTTTAGTACAGCTGTCAAATTATTATCACATCCTAGAAATAAGTTTTATAAATTGTAAATCTAAACCCTAATTCTCATTGTTTCAAGAATGATCTCATCTTGGTTAAATGTTACTAGAGTTTTCATTTCAATTACATTTCCTTGAACACAGAATGGAGGTCTTATGCTCACAAAGTTTTAAAAGGATAGTTTGCATTGTTATGAGTCTGTTGAGTAGTTTTGTGTAGTCTGTAGACAGAAGTCAGAATGATGTCAGTTTGGAGAAACAAAGAGACATGCAGGACTTAAAGCTACTAGTCAGACTGAAGCCTAATGCAGAATTTATTTCATCCATAAAAACGGGTAAAAATCTAAAAAATGTCTATCTAAGAGGTTCAAGCGATCATTTTAGTGCATGCTTTACCCCATATTTGCTTTAAATAGTTAATTTCATTAAATATTTTTGCCATAATGTATTTTGCAACATGTTTTACCTGAATTAATTTTAATGGGTTTTGGACTGTGTTCCAACCCGGCCAGTCTTTATTATCATAACCGAAGATGTGTTGGCAAATAAGAAACTAATGCAAAAGTGACGACTTTTAAAAGTTTACAAGTCAAACTGCTATGAAACTTTTAAGCATTACCGTAATCTGCTCTGGAAAAACAAGCAGTATATGTTTTGTTCTTGTTCTTTATATTGTAATGTTTATTAAGAAAGAAGTCATGCAGTAAAACAAATGTATTTGTGAGTACCTGTGTGGCATGAATGACAGCAGCATCACTGGACACAGGAGGAGCAGTGGCATAAAGCGGGTTCTCAAATGTGATTGGCTGTCTCCCAGCATCAATGGCAAAATTATCATCCTATGAGGAAATCATAAAGGTGAGTTGCTTTCTGTATTTGACATTTGAATTCTGCTCATATAAGCAGTTCTGAGGGTTGTGTGAAAGATTAAAAATGAGTCAATAAGTAGCACAAATGACATTCTTTGACAAAAAGTTAGTGGGGAAAGCTGACAGGAGACTTTCAGTCACTTGAAACACCATTAACTGAACTCCTGAACTCACCATCTGCATGGCTGTGTCGATAACAGACACTCCAATGTGCGATGGCCCGAGATCCACATTATCACCAGACCGAAACATAACCCCATTCCCGGTGTCAGCCGACTTCACCAGACTGCTGAGGCTGGACAAAAACAAAACACTCCAACCTGAACTTTAATCCCAATATTCTGCTTGTGATCTTCAGGACAAATGTGGCTTGAAAAACAGGACAAGAATGAAACTGAAGGGTACCTTGGTAGTTTAGGCATGGAGGGAATGAAAGATCCTGTTCGTTTGTAATTGAGGAAAACACCGGCAGCCAAGGCTCCAGTAATCAGGATGATAATAACAGCCAGGAGAACAGCAACAGCTAAAATAATAAAAATTAAAAAAACTAATCATTCAGATGTGTACTTATTGTATATTTACAGAGAGGTGCAGATGAAGAGTAGCCTCCATTCAAGGGTGTAATATTCCAAATTTGTTTTTTTACGTTTCACATAAAAATGAAATTATGCTTCAAAACATGCAATTTGTTTTGTTAAATGCACCTTATGTTCAATATTAAAGCCTAGACGATGAAATGCATGGGCAAAAACTTTGATGCTAAAAAAAACAATTATTAATGAGCAAATTGCAGCAGATTCTTTGTTCACCTATTTATGTTTAGCTTGATAAATGCTAAGGGTTAAAAGCAGGTACTGTTTTAAAATATCCTGTCTTTAGCTGGAACAGACAGTATGAATGTGTTCATGTTGCTGACTTGCAATGAGCTGGATGACTACAAGTCATTTAAACAAGTTAAACTATAATTTATTGTTGTATTATTTGGCTGATTATTAAAGAAACGTTATTTTAACGATTTAACATTACCAAAAGCTGCTGATTCAGATTTTTTTTTTTCTGAACTACTTTTTAAGCCTAAGCTAAAGTGTAACTACATTAGGTTGGCTTTTTGTTTGCAGCAGCAAAACACACGGTTAATGACTGCTGCAAAAATCTTGCATGATTTGTTAACACTTGGAGTGGGGTATGACTCACAGCTACTACCACGCCCAAATGTAGATCAATATCTGCAAAACTAGCTGAGTTAGCACCTTCTAGTGTTTGCTAACACTGATCATCAGTAACGGTCATTTTGAATCAGACTGACTACAAAAGTTAATTTATTGTAGCTGTATAAACCCTGAATGCTTTCGTATGTTCATAAAATGTGACAAATTGTTCGTGATATTTTGCAAACGCAAGAGACAAAAGGGCACAAAAACATATTACCAGGCAAATACATGATCACCTGCTTTTTATGTCAGAAGTCAATAAGTATTGGAAAATATCATTGAGTAATATATTAAATAAGTTGTTCGCTGTACCTGTTCCAGGTGGAGCACCTCTAGATTTGCCAATCTCACAGTAGCTACCAATATAGCCGTAAGGACATCTACACAAAGTCAAGATCACACACAAAACATCATATTTAACAATAAGAACAGCTTTCTGTACATAAAAAGATTGCATATTTAATCCTCTTTTGGTAGTTGAACCAATGGCTGATGGTTGGTGATCTTTGATGTCTAATAATGAAATCTACAACTAAACTCACTTGCACTTTGGCAGACCTCCTTCATCAGTGTAGCAGGTTCCGCCATTCATGCATCTGCATGCAAGAGGCATTGGAACAGGAGGCTCAATGGCTGCAGATGCAAAAGCCGGGCATACAGACGGTCAATCACACCATAGCACAAAACAATACACAAGCAGCCAAGCACAAGTGGAGAATGGATTGATGACATCAGATGCCATGTCAGTGTTTACACAAAGCTGCAGACAGTTTGAGCAGTCCGGCTGTTGTTGATGTTTACCTGCATCACATTCTGTTGAGTCAATACTGGATGGAGGAGAGCCTTGTGGGCAGGTGCAGGTGTACCCACCAGGTCGGAGGAGGCACAGGTGACTGCACACATTCTTACAGGGGTTGGGCACTGAAAAAGAATGAGCACAAATAAAAACAGTGATAAGAGTAAATGCATTTAACCACTTGACTGTTCTAAAAAAGTGTTTTAGAAACTTATTGCAACACTTCAAATGTCAAAATCATGGAATTTACCCATTGCCTGTTCAAACACATGGAAGAAATGTGTGAGGTGAGCCAGTGTAGTGCTGTGGTTCACCTCTGGTGGCGCTGTGTCATATACAATATACTTTGTATGGAGTAGGTGGTTGGAGCATGCCCATTGCTGTCTCTCTTTATATCACCAATATACATGTTTGATTACACATGTGCTGTACATAATGATATTCTACAGTCTGTCTAATATATTGAATGAATATGAGCAACATATTTCTTCTTTCTAATCAATCATAAATGCATAGTTAAAATACACAGGGTGAGGCAGAAAGTACCTTGCTGCACCAATAGGGGGCAGTGCTGCCCTATAGGGACAATGAAGCAGGTGCTGTCACTGTGTGTTCTTCTGTTACGCAGAGGGGCCGGGGTGTAGCAGAACAGTACACTTGTTTAAATTTGTTTAGACAAAATGGAAGATCATATCTCAAAACTAAAGGATTTTTCTATACTTGATTTTCAGTTGAAACAGACGGTATTAGAGAGAGGAAGAAATAAAAAAAAAAGGCTAAATTGAAATATAAGCTTCTATTTTGGGTTCATATGTGAGCATCCAATTCCAGAGGAGTCAGTGCCTTACCTGTCACAAACCTCACCGCATATCACTGATATATATCTATCTATCTATCTATCTATCTATCTATCTATCTATCTATCTATCTATCTATCTATCTATCTATCTATCTATCTATCTATATATATATATATATATA